ACAGCGGACAAATGTCCTCATAATGAAAAGGTATCTCCTTCCCCCACTTTCCCCAACATCTGCCCCAGGCTTCCAGAACTGGCTTTTTCAGATAGTCACCATTTAGCCAAGAGGCAACTGTAAGCACTCTGGAGATTACAAAGAGAGATACATATGGCCCTGACTCTCAGGAATTCATCTAGAAGATAGTCCACCATGACATAAGAGAGAAAGAGTAAAAACCCAAAGAAGGCTACATAAATTATTATGGCACTTACAGCGATGGGGAAGTGGACTGGTCCCAGATTGGCCAGGGCAGTGCAGATGAAGTATGAGGACAACCTAGGTGTACACACTGAATGAGGAAAAGACCCAAGACAGGAACAGCAAGGAGGGATGAGCATGTGAAGCAAGAATGGCATGTGAACCTCGCCGAGTGCTTAGTAAATGCCAGGCATGTGTGCTAGAAGCTTCATGTGCTTACGCCTCAAGAAGCATTGTGAGAAATGAGCTGGGCACTGACAGACTACAGAGCGTGACAAGAGAGGACATTGCTAGGCACAACACTGGGTCTGACAAACAAGGCAGAGGTCCACCAGAGAACTCTCTACCAGCTCCTCCCTCTGCACCGCCTCATCGAGCCGCTCTGACGCAGAGTAGGGACCAGGAAGTGACAGGAGGTTTACTCTAACTCTGGAATACTATCAGCACGAAGCCATCTATCTGAAGTCTCACTGAGGTGACCTGCGTGTAGGAGCCACTGATGAGAATAAATTGTAATTCCTTAACTACAGCCCATCTCCACCCTTTCCACCTTGGCTCAGAAAGCTGAAACCTGCTCATTGTGAGCCCTAAGGTGGAGATGTCTGGCAGCGCAGAACTGACAGGAAGTCCCTTCACCAGCCTAAGGTTACCATTAACACTCCCAGCCACTGCCTTGAGCTAATTCTTGTTTGTTTTTGAAGTTTGGTTGAAATATCACAAATGGAAAAATTAAGTAAAGCACCCAGTTAGCCCCAAGACTGGACACACCTGGTGCAAACCCAGCAAAAGAAACTTACTTCATTAGCAGGAGAGGCAGGGTGAAATTTACATCTGAAATCCGCCTGCAGCAGGAGAAAGTGCTGAGGCCAAAGGGCTGTCTGTTTTTACAGCTGTGTCAGAGCCCAGTTCTTACTCCTACCAACACTCAGGAGTGTGGCAAGGGCCCAAGGAAAAATGGTCTCCAACCTCTTCAGCTGCAGCTCAGCTCACAAAGGTTTTTAAGAACCAGTTAATGAAATAAAACAAGACCAGATGAGGTGATATAATGAACTTTATTTCCACAGCTAATTTATATGTTTAAATCCCAAATATTGGCTTTTTTTTCTTTTAAAAAGTCAGAACACTAAAATTATTGATGTGATTTTTGTAACCTCAAATTTAGCAGTTGCTTTTTGTACTGGCCTCACCAATGACACATGAGTCTGTGCCATGTGCTACAACAGTTGGGCTTCTGAGAAGCTGATGAAAAGTAAAGTTTCTCTCTTGCATGAGACCAGAACTCAAATGCCAAATGAGCCCTTGATAGGAATTCAAGTTTCAAAGGAATTCTTGATTAAAATTTCTGATTCGTCATCAGTTTGCAAGAGGCGCTTTGGGCTCTGGATCTTTGCCACACCCACCCACTCAAAGTAATGGCTTCTAAGAATTCTTTGGCATGAGAAAACCCACCACAACACTGACTGGCTTTATAATTTTACTTTTTCTACAACTTTTCATACAGAGGTATACCTGGGACGCCAAATAACACAGAAAGATTTGCAAATTACCACCTTTAGATCTGGGCTTTTTCAAAGCTGAAGAGAAACTTGGCGGCCACATAGCTAGCAGCTGGACTTGCTTCTGTGTCAACCAAAGCACAGGCAATACCTGCCCATTGTGGGACAGCCAGGCCAGACCCTTCGTTCCACCTACTGCTCTCCTCAAGTCCCATGTACCTCTGCTGCAAGCAGTGTACTTACTAACAGGCTGAGAGCGCCTTACCTGCACACATTCACAGATGACAAGGGGTTAATATACAACTGTCTTTCCTATAGAAAAGGTGTCTGTCTATATCATCAAGTTAGGAGGAGGATTTTGTGTCAAATACAATAAAAAGCAAGAACAGTAAGGCCCCAGTTCTTCTAAATTGCTATTTTAAAAACACTATCATTCACTATGGTTTGTAACGAAGCCAGCAGCTTGGGCATTTCTCTGCATGAAGGGAATCTGGGAACCAATAGTAGGAGAGTCACTAACATCATGCCATTTAAAGTGTGGTTGCCACCTCCCCCATTCTACCAACACAGGCATAACCTAGAAACATGCTAGAAAAGTAGACACTCACAGTGAGTTCAAGGTCAATCTAGGTTACATGAGATCCTGTGAAAGAATGAGGTAGGGGTGAGAAAAAACTCAAAGGACCGAGGCTGTGGCTGAGCTGGTAGGGTGCTTGTCCAGCCAAATTCATTCCCAGAACAACATAAAACAAGGGATGGTGCACACCCACAATCTCAGCATTTTGGAGGTGGAGGCAAGAGACTCAGAAGTTTAAGGTCATTCTGGGTTACATAGTGAGTTCAAGGCCAGCCTGGACTACACTGCAAAAGAGACACAGAGGGAGGGAGAGCCAAAGAAAGAGGAAGGAAGGAGGAAAGGAAGGAGAGGGAGGGAGAGAAAGTAGATTCTCTGGCCCTGGTCAGAAACTTGCTGACTCTCATTTGCTCTTTCTCAAGATCCCGGATGAACTGTATAGAGGCCTATACTCCTCTATAAGGTGGCACACTATCTACAACAGTCCAAATGGACAAATAGAGGGGAAAATTAAATTTCAGTCAAGGATGATTTATCTAATAAGTTATCTTAAAACAATATACCAACATGGTGGTGACACCCTTGGTCCCAGTACTTGGGAGCTCTGTGACTGTGGCACCAGCCTGGTCTACATGGTGCGTTCTAGGTCAGCCAGAGCCATATACAATAACACCCCATCTCAAACCAACCACCCAACCAATGGAATATACCAAAGGCTCAAGTTTAATGTATCATTCAATTCATTCTATTTATCCATTTGACCATTTGATGTTACTACGTAAGAAAAAAAAAAAAATAGAAGACATTTTCCTGCTTTCATAAAGCTTACAATGGACTAGGGGGAGATGACACACGGAGCTTCAGAGAAGGCTCCAAGTGTTGACTGCTATTGTAGATGGAAGAGAAAATCTGGGGGAGAGGGTGTGATGGGAAAATTCCTGTGGTCGAGTAGTCAGCAATTTCTGGATGATTAGGCCATTTGGGATAGGACAGCTGTGGCTCACATGCTGTAGCAGCCCCTCCGCCAGCAGGGCTCCGTCAACAGATAAGCAAAACAGGTTCATCTAATGAAGAGCCACTAACGCAGCACCTGGCGGTCAGCACGGGCTCTGGCTGGCCAAAGGCTATTCCTGGCCATCATTAGTAGGCTGATCTGAGATGCCAACACCAGCCGAAGTCCAATGTGTGCCGCCACAGAGTCGAGCAGTAAACACTTGAAGACTTAGAAAACCCAGCTGTATGAGCTGCTTGGTCTGCTGACCTCCCCCCTGGAGTGCAAAGAAAGCCAGCGGGCATGGCGGTGGGAGGAAGGAAACAAGAGGCAACGAGGACAGTTATAGAAGGAGCTCAGGAAGGGGCCAGAGAGATGGCTCAGTGGTTAAGGGCATCACTTGCTCTTGAAGAGGATCTGGGTTCAGTTCCAGCACCCACAGGGTGGCTCCCAAGGGGAGGGGAGGGATCGAACACCCTCTTCTGACCACTTTGAGCTCCTGCATATATGTGGCACACATCCACTCAAGAACACACACACATACACACACACAGATCTCAACCATGACTTTAAGGCAGCCAGTGACGACAGCAGGTACAACTGATGTTTCATTTTCTTAGAATGAACAGAAATGTGAATGGCATGATGTCCCACTGAATGTCATGCAAATGTCCATAAAGATACCTAAAGGCAAATCCAGGTTTACGGTGCCTCCATCATGACGGTTCCTTCAAAGACATGAGACACCCTCCACTCAGGTTCCTAAATTCAGGAAACCATCACCTATGTGCACAGCATAAGTCTCAAAGGTTGCAATTTTATACAAAGTACATGGCATTAACAGACAACAGAGTCTGTGAAAATGGGCACAATAGTAAAGTCCGCCATGACTGAATACCCACTCAGCACGGTTAGACCTCCAAAACATAATGTGAGTGTGTCAAAGTACACAAAGAATGCGATCATGTATAAAACACACACACACACGTGCATAAAACCCACTACTACATATTTTCTATAGCTAGCAGAGTCATTTTATACACACAGCAAACTCATATGCAGAGTCAGGTGCACACACTCGCACGCTCCCTATTCTTCTTGAATTTACTACTATATTGATTTTCCACGGATATTTTACCAAAATCCTCTAGGTTCCTTAGTTACTGAGGACCATAGGCCCCTACCACTATCTAACTCAAAGAGTGGGGCATGATGGTGGTGCCTATAAGCCTAGCACTTAGAAAGTGCAGAGGCAGGAGAATCAGTTCAGTAAGGTACATGAGTCCTTGTCTCCAAAAACAACAAACAAAAAGACAACCAATCAACCAAAGAATTAACTTAAAAGGGGAACTAATTCAAATACTGAATTATTATCAAAGGCAGCATCCTTAACCTAGATTACTGTCTGGTTCCCCACTCCACATTGCCCATCACCAGACTTCTATCTACTTCTGTATACAAGATGTCCTCATACCAACAAACCACAACAATGTGCACAAACCCATAAAGTATCCCTGGTATGTCAGGCTTCCAAGAGACAAAAACCCTGACTATAGCCGAACTGCCTCTTTGATGTTAGACAGCATTTCACAGAGATCCGAAGGCAGCGCCGCTCTAAAGCAGAAAGCCCCCAGCCTCAGGGCAGACATTCCTTATCACAGTTGTCCAGGACCAGCACCTGGAGTCGAGCACTTACCCCCATGACTCTGCCTCGCTGCTCCACATCTTCCCACATGAAATGAACTATGACCCGGCACATGTACTTTCCAGTCCGGCCTTCCTGCTTCATTCGGACTAGACACATCCTGAGTGGAAGTGAAACGGATTTTCTATGAGTTCACACAATTCACTAAAGGATGATTTTAGCACAGCACACTGAGACAAAAACCCAGCAGTGACCTTATTGTCTTTAATATCTTTAATATCAGCTATAACACAGACCCTGTAAAAAAAAAAAAAGTCCATCTCAAGTGTGCAGTTTAAAAAGGCTTGCATATTATATATGATAATGTAAGCTACCTGTGGGTACTGAGCACTTTAAATGTGGCTAGTCCAAGAATTTCAAAGATATAGTAAGACACAAAAATCACATATTTTTATATTGCTATCACATTGAAATATTATTTCATGTAAGTTTAAAGAAAATGAGTTACTGAATTAGTCTCACGGGCTGGGACATGACACAGAAGGTGAGAGCACAGAGATAGAACTCCAGCACCCACATAATAAGACACGCATGGCTGGGCATGCCTGTAACTGGAACATCGGTGCCAAAGACAATGCGCTCCAGAGATCTCCCTGCTCAGCCAGCTTAGCCCACACAGTGAGCTTCACTGCAGAGCGACAGAAGAAACATACCGCCTATCTCTGGCTCCATGTACATGGGCACATGTACCAGCACATTCATGTGCATATCCGCCCAACCCCACTCCCCACATTAAGATACTGGCATTCGGGGCGAGAGAGATGGTTCATTATTTAAGAGCGCTATCTGTTCTTCCAAAGGACCCAGATTCAATTCCCAGCACCATGGCAGCTCACAACGGTCTGTAACTCCAGTTCCAAGAGATCTGACACTTTCACACTGATGCACATAAAAAAGAAATAAATTAAAAAAAAAAAGATACTAGGCAAAAAAAAAAAAAAGACACTAGAATTCTTTGCAACACCACCTTCAATTCTTTGGACTTTAAAAATATAATTAGAAATGTAGAAAAATTTCAATTACATTTGTGGCGTGCATTCTTCTTCTCTTGGCTAATATTTCTTCCGCATACAGACACGGCAAATACTACGATTACATTTTTATAATTATCAAATTGTTCTCCCACTAGATATAAATGCTATTGAAGGCAAAGAACAAGTTTGTTTTTGTCTGTTTGTTGATTTTTGTTTGTTTGTTTGTTTGTTTGTTTTGAGACAGGGTCTCAGTGTAAGCTACATGACCCAACCACGAACCAAACATTTCTTCAGTCTGTCTCAATGGGCTACACATCATAAGGATCTGAATAGGGAAAACACAAGGTCCTGTACTTGGGTCCAGTGGAAAAAACTCCAGGGGTCCAGGATACATGAATCACAACTACCTATGTAAGAAAGCCTTTAAAAAAAAAAAAAAAGCCAAAGGTAATAGAACATGCTCAATGCAAGTCAAGAGAATAATGATCCTGATCCCAAATTAATGTGCTTTTAGATAGTGAAGTATGTCCTTAGTGTGCAAAGCGAGGCTCTAAATCTGCCTGGATCAGCAGCATTTACTGATTCTAATTTTGAACATCATATCTGAAGAGACAAGAGGTTAAATCATATTAAGAGTAAGTTCTGTCTTATTGCACAGTAGTAAGACTATAGTTAATAGTAACGTAATTTATTTGAAAATGGCTCAAAGCGAGGGTTTTGAATATTCTCACACCACAAAAATAATATGAGATGATGGGTGTGCTAATGACTCTCACTTGATCGTAACACAATGTACATGTGAGTCAAAATATTGTATAATCTGTAAGTATGCATGATGGGCCAATTAAAAATAAAATTTAAATTAAGAGAAAAGGAGAAGAAAAAAGATCCGAGAACAGGCCGTCAAGGTGGCTCAGCAGGTAAAGCACTTGCCACTGCATCCTGAGGACCTGAGGTGGAGCACATACACACACAAGTAAATAAATAAATGTTTACAGAGAGGCAGGACCAGAAGATATCTAACCTGAGGATAAACTATAAGAGAGGGGTCATGAATTTGTCAATCTAAATATTAAAATCAAAACCATAGGCTGAGCCATACAAAGAGAAAGATTTGTTGAACTAAAGTAAAAACTGTCCAGCAGGGAAATATCCAAAGATTGAAGTCATAAAATGGACAACTTCAAAATGTAGAAAACTAGCTTGTTCATGTAAGAATAATTGTTTGGTGAACATGCAGCTCTTTAAATTATTGTTTAAAGATTTTCTTTATTTTTAATTATGTGCATAAGTGTGTGTGTGTGCACGTGCGCACAGATATATGCACACGAGTTCACATGCCCTTGGAGGTCAGAGGCATTGGATCCCCTGAGTTACAGGCAGTTGTGAGCAGCCCAAGTTGAGTGCTGGGAGCCAAATTCAGATCCTCTGTAAAAGCAGCATCTACTGTCAACCACTGAGCCATCTCTATAGACCCTGAGTGTGAAGCTTTCTGACCAAAGGTTCACTACTGATCTCAAGGGGATTTGTTGCTATTTTCATCCTAATTTTTAACATCTGAATCCAGTTAGTGCCTCAGATATAAGACTTGGAGACAATAATGAAACAGGCTGTGAAAAGAGACTGGACTACATACAGCATATGAGAGAGAACAGATTTCAAAGTAGAAGTGCACGAGAGAAAGTTCAACAGGATTTTTTTAAATAAGTTAATCAAATTGTTCTTGTCTGCCTCTCACCTGAAAAGACACAATGTGTTTTGATGCCTGAGTGTCATAGGAGGCCAATTCATCAACAGCAATAGTGAGGTAATGGAATTCTTCATTTATTTGAAAATTCTGTAGTCTGTTAATACACCTGCCCACTGAGGTTTAAAAGGCACAGATTTTTTTTTTTTTTTTTCAGACCATAAAGTTTCTTAACTATATCAACATGAGGTGAGGTGTTTGGAGTTTCACAGCACAGCTTGTTCAATAGCCATTATAAGACAACAGTCAACTCAATGGGCAGCTGGGCTAAAAAGGTAATATAAAATGAAGGAACTCTCAAGCTGGCTGACAATCTACCCAATGAATGTAAACTATGTGTAGGTATGAGGTTGAATGGGTAGGTATTGCGCTGACGGCAAAGACATGAGTCCAGCTTGTAAGCCCTGTGTTTCCTAAGAGAAACAAGGCACACACAAACAACAGAAAATGGCTGGTGGGATGCCTCTGTGAGAAAGGGCACTTGTTACCAAGCCTGACTCCCTGGAATCAACATGGTAGAAGGAGAGAACTGACTCCCAAGAGCTGTCCTCTGACCTACCCATGCACACCATGGCACATATTGCCACTGTGTACATACACACACAAATAAATACACGTAAAACAAAGGAAGGTAGTATCTTGAGAAAAAATGTGCAGTGGAGTCTGAAAGATTACTTTGTGATGAATGGGGCCTGAGAAAGCTGGATGGGAAAGGGAACACCAGGGTCTTAGAAGGCTGTGCTGAAGTGAACAAAAAGTAAAAGGCTTCCCAACTGACAGAACATGGAGAGCAAAGGTAGGGCCAAGGAAGAAGTCAGCATGCAATTCCTCAATTTGTGACAGGGCAGGGTATAAGAAGCAGGAAAGTAAAGCCAGAAGTCAAAAGTGCTTTAAATGTCATGCTAAGAAAGTCTGGACTCCGTGCACCAAGTGGACGCTGGTGAGCCACTGGTGAGAAGAGATGCGGTGAGCCTGGCATGCTGGCACACAGAGCACCCGGGTGACTGAGAAGCTAGCTCTCCCAGCCTCAGCCCTGCCGTTAAATACCAAGGTCACCAAGGCTGGGAAGTGACAACCTGGAGGAATTCTTTCTTTTACGGAGCCAAGGTCATTGTCTGGTCTGGAAATACATGACTGCCTTTTGAGAGAAAGGTGAACAGCTATAAACCTCCTACAAGTTTAGGAAATGTGGATTGAAGGCTATCAACAAAAGAAGTTCAACCTACTCCCAAAGCATTGCACCAAATTAGTTCAGTAAATACCCGTGACCAATGCAAAGCACTGTACAATATAAAACCCTACAGTGAGTCTCTCCTTACAAAACCAAGGACAGGTTTTTCCTTAGTGTATGTCCTGAAGGCTCCTGTGTTGTGTCAGGACAATGTAAAATTCTGATGCACAGAACTCTCCAGCCACGAGCACTAACTAAAAGCTCATTCATCATGGATGTGAATCAAAGTCTCTAAGAAGCTAGGACAGAAAAAAAGTCCCAGCGTCCAACTAAGGACTATTCATGGAGATAACCTAGAACCCCTGCACAGATGTAGCACATGACAGTTCAGTGTCCAAGAGGGTTACACAGTACTGGGAAGAGGGACTGCCTCTGACATAATCTGATTGGCCTGCTCTTTTATCACCTCCCCCTGAGGGGGGAACAGCCTTACCAGGCCACAGAAGATGACAATGCAGCCACTCCTGATGTGATCTGATAGACTAAGATCAGAAGGAAGGAGAGGAGGACCTTCCCTATCAGTGGACTTGGGGAGGGGCATGCATGAAGAAGGGGGAGGTAGGGTAGGAGTGGGAGGGGAGGAGGGAGGGGCTTATGGGGGGATACAAAATGAATAAAGTGTAATAATAGTAAAAAAATAAAAAATTTAAAAAAAGTCCCAGCGTAAAGAACTTTTGACTTATTCTTAAAAAAAAAAAAAGGTGAAGGCCAGCCCACCTGGTGAAAGAGGCAGCTGCCTGGATGTCCACCCAGCAGTTGCAGGGCAGCTCCTAAACACCCTACCCTGAAGCTCATCCCATGCAGCTCTCCTCCCTCCCCTGCTTAGTAACTGCTTTGAACAGATAATATAAGAATGAAAAACAAGACTCCTTCCCAAGCAGTCTTCTCCCTGCAGTTCCTCAGAGCCCTTCCACATAATCCATCCACATACAAGCTCCAGTCTCAAAGTCTCCCTTTCTGTACATTGTAGCAGCTTTTCCCTTCTTCACATGGTAACGTCCACACACACTATTCTGGCACTGAGATGCAGGGAGGAGAATCCCTGGACACCCGCTGGCCCTCCAGCCTAGCCCTTCCCACACAACAACCAAGGGACTCCACCTTCAACAAGATGGACCAACACCCAAGGCTGCCCTTTGACCTCTACA